TTTCTCCCTCCCCAAATCTTTTTTTATCTTTTACTTTTATTATTATTATTATTATTATTCTTATTATTATTATTATTTATTTCCCGAGATGATAAGACTGATCGAAGGAGAATTATTATTTTTATAATGTAATATAATTTATTAACAAATTGAATATGCTTGCGTACACAGACTTGTTTATATGTTAAAAGGTTCATTAAAATGAAAGGACCGTTGCAAATAAAAAGATTTTTTTATAATGTCGAGGAACATGCAATAAGAACGATTTAGAACGATCACGAAATTAATGTGAAACGTATTCTCGGACTCGTACTTGAACGCACACATCAATGTCGATCAATAATTGTATGAGCGTTTGTATATTTGTTAATTAAATACATGCAAGTCATTTCATTGTTTCATAAATACCCTCGCCGTTAATCATTATTTATTAATCATTATCACTCTCTTTCTTTCTCTCTCTCTCTTTCTCTCTCTCTCTCTCTCTTTCTCTCTCCTTTTTCCTCTCTTATAAATCGCACCATTGTCAAACGATCTTTAAATAAATATTTCATGCTCGATTGATAATATAGAAAAATTCTTTTTGTTTTTTTCTTTCTTCTGTTTTCTTTTCCTTTTATTTACATTGCTTCGAAGTAATGACCTAGCTTTTTATTTTTTTTTTTTTTTTTTTTACGCGTATCAAATTATCGTAAACATATTAAGTAAAAGCATGGGGCTGTCTTTCGACGAGATTAATTCAAGTCACGAATTTGATTTTAATTTTACAGCAGAAAGGAGAGCACAACTTAATAGGAGTCGATCGCGTACAGGACTGGTTGGATCTGGTTTGCTTGGAAGAGAGCCATAAACGTAAGTTTACATTTGTTTACCAATAATTCAAACAGTAAACACCAATGGCACAAAGCGATTAACACAACCAATTATCTTTTATGTAAATTATAAAAAAAAAAAAAAAAAGAAAAGGAAAAAAGATACAAAAAAAATATAATAGAACAAAAAAAGTACTGAATTAAATTTTTAAAAGTACTAGAAAAAAGGAAAAAAAAAAATACTAAATAGAATTAAAGTACCAAAGTACTATATATATAGTTGTTATATCTAATAATATCTATATTTAATACTTCCAATATTATTAGATGTAATTTACAAATGGCTAACACGAATCATTCTTGCAGAAACCTTTTAAGTTCAGCAGTAATATACCAGAATGTCAGATTTCCGTCCTAAACTTGATGCTGTGATGGTTTTACACTTCGGTTATGTTTGGAATGCCAGAGACAACTAGATAGAACACATGGTGTTTCATCCAGCAAAAACGCAAGAAATATCGCGTCCGATTATTATTATTATTATTATTCGTTAATAATAGAACCGTCGGTTGTTAATAAGTTCGATATAGTCTTCCCTTTACGTACTTCGATGTTATCTTCTGGGTACAACGTTTTATCATTAAATTCTTATGAAATAATTTTAAATATAAAAACGGAGCTATGCATCGATATTATTCTAAAAAGCATAAAGCAAAAAGGAACGATTATGATCATGCCGAAAAAACATTTCGTTATTATTTTTAGGAGATATATGATATAATACTGGTAATATCAATATTAGAAAACCTAAAATGTAATTTAAAAAAAGAAAAAACAAAAAAAAAAAAAAACAAAAAAAAAACAAAAAAAAAACAAAAAAAAACAACAAAAAAAAAGTTTGAATATATTTAACAAATAGGAATCGATGATCTTGGTGCATAATAATTTTTCTTAATTACGCTTTTAAAACTTATCGATTCTCGCTCAAAAATGAAATTTCATTGCAAATCGAGTCAGTCATACATATCTATGGTATCTTTAGTTATTCTATACTTTTTTTTGGTCTTCTTCTTTTATCTCTGTTTTTTTTTTTTCCATTTTACAATGCGCTTGTACGAGGACACTGAAAACGGCTCTGATTTAAAGGACGATTGATAATTTGGTGCTCGATAATCCGTAAGAATATCATTCAAATGTCGTGGTAATCAAAATTAATCAATCGTAATCGCGTTTGATTAATAACCAAAGATCAAGTAGCATTTCTTTGTCATTGTCAGCCATTATGAAGATGATTATTAAAATTCAAACGATACGTTAATTCAACGTTGATGTAACGTTAGTTATGTCGTCCTAGTGATATTTAAACATATACATACATAAACACAGATATAGATATAGACAGACAGACACGCACACACATACACACACACATACACACACACATACACACACATACACACACACATACACACACACAACGCACGCATGCATGCATATACGCACGCGCTCAAATACATCTCGACATACTTGTGCAACATGTGAGTGCATATTGCCAATATATTTTATACGTGTATAGTATATATGCACATAAGTTTTGTATAGATGTAATTGCAATGTTACTATTATTGTATAATGTTAGATAGCGTTGGATAATTAAATGATTACTGTAAAGTACTTGTCGAGGAAACTGATGTACATATATATATGTACATATACATATGTATATATATATATATACACATGTCATACGTATATATTATATATATATACATACATATATATATATAGGTATATGTATGTGATATATATATATCTATATATATATATGTATATATATATACATATATGTTCGTCTCTATTCCATTATAACGTAAGTAATAATGGGAAGATAAAAATGTGTTCTTAATTTTTATTAAATAAGACAAATACACACAGGGAAAAGGAACGCGTGCACCGAATTGTGCACGTCTTTTGTGATATGCAATTGTTTTTATACTATACGAAGAGAGCGTTTACTTACGTTAGAAAAAAGGAGAAACAGGTGTTTTCTATTATTCTTTTTAGTAATGTAACCTTCATTTGAAAGTATTGCATTTATAGGAAAACGTTCAGATATAGTCTTGCAAAGTTGATATTCAGGTGGTCTCTCTCTTTTTTTTTTTCTTTTTTTCTTTCTTTCTTTTTTTTTTTTTTTTTTAATGAGAATCACACACTGGTGCAAGTTCCAATCAAGTGATATATTTGTACATAGTTTCTACGTCGTCTAACTTTAAGGAGGCACAAAATTTTCATTTTATAAACTGCTAAATAGAATATAAATATATATATATATATATATATATATATATATATATATATAATTTGTGGATAAGTAGAGAAATTAACGCGATCGGGCAGAACGATATATTTCATAAAAAAAAAGAAAAAAAAATAAAAAAACGTTCTGTTTTAGATCGGTATACTCACGAGAACAATAGGTATGATTTTTCGGTAATATGGTGCCAAATTTTTTATTACACGTATACACATTTTGTAAGACATAGAATAAACAATTTTATTTCACTTTCTATGTCTAATATATCAGCTTATTTTACAATATGAATTTTATAATCGTGCCTATTAAAATTGCTCTATAATATACAATTGAATTTATTTTTCGAATCTCAAAGGTCGTACGCTATGATGATAATGAATCATTCATATTATAGTTTAATATCAAAATTTAAAGAAAAATTTGTATCTATAATGTGAATATGTGAATTTTAATAATATTAATGTGTTATTATTGAAACACACAAGACATTCAAGACATCCATCATATCGCAGATTGTATTCATTTGATATTCCCGATATGTAAATATTTTATATATAATTATACATATAATTCACATACACACATATATATATGTATATATATATATGCATACATATATATATATATATATATATGTTATATATAGATAAAAGTAGGAGGTTTAAGCAATACCGATGTTAAAAGAAAACCGGGAAAACGTATGTGTCTACATATCTACTCTCGCAAGAGCAAGTTAGAATTGTACGTTTACTCGATAAGGATGGAAAGTGAAAAGCGCGAGAAATCCAGTTTGGTTTAAATACTGCCACCAATGGAATGAAGAAATTGCCGTATGTACGAAAACGATCGCGTGCGAATAAGGAACGATTGCGGACTTTTAAAAAATGCATATTAGCAATCGAAGCGATCTAATTGCTATATAAATGGCATTTTAAATTAGACGAAGGACGGTTAAGAGCTATATATATATATATATATATATATATATATATATATATATATATATATATATATATATACCGTTATTGTAATTAATTTTATTTTATATGTAAGTTTCCTAGTATCATTATCTCGGTTTTATAATGCTCATGTAATTATAGTCGAAGTCAGTAATTAGTCACATAAGTCATTCCAGCGAATGACTCGTCTTCGATCGTTCGCCGAACAATAATCGTTTCGTCTCTCGATAGAAAAAAAGATCGACGAAATAAAACAAAATTTAACATCATCGTCTTCTATTGTTTCATCTCGATTTCTTTATTCTTTGTTGCTTTTATTTTTTTTTTTTTTTTTTTTTAAATAAGCGTAAAAAATATGTATACGAATAATTTTTTTTTCAGGCAAGACTAATTCGTACGAGTGCGTATATTTTAATAAGTTTTTCCTGTTCGCGGGTAAGAACCATGAGCCAATGGGATGATTCGTTCTTGATGACGTACGTGATGACGTCATCGAAGAGAAGATTCTTATGCTATTTAAAAGTGAGCGCGCACGAGAAAGAGAAAGAGAGAGAGAGAGAGAAAGAGAAAGAAAGAGAAAGAGAAAGAAAGAAAGCACTAGCGTAAGCGCTATAATTTACATGAAAGCGAATTTGAGATCGATCTCGTCACATTACTATCTTCGATAAATCGTTAGCCAATCGTCGATCGTATTGAGAACTGTATTGATCTTTTTCTTGTTGCTTTCGTTTGATGTAATATGGCCGTTAGGTTGGTCTCGATTCGTTTCACGTGTTTCGTTTTTCAAAGTATAACTTCGTAAAACCTCGTGAGATTTCGTTTCGGTAGAACCAATCGGAAGCCTAGCGTGTCTAAGCAGGTGTTTTCGCGTAATAATATACATGCTAATCGGAGCAGCCGAATTTTCGGGTAAAGTAGTCCTCGTCAGTCAGTTCCTTGTCCGGTGGTCGGCCGTTATACATATACGTAAATAAATTCGAATACGTAAATTTCGACTCGTTCAAACGAGAATATTCAAATTCGTGAACTACTTTTCAATTGATTCCTTCTAAAAGAATCGAAAAGAAAAAAATCAAAGTTGTAATCGAATAAAAAAGAAAAAAAACAAGAAAACAAAAAACGTCGAAGAAGCGAGTTTTAATTCCGTGAAAAGAAAACATTCGATGTATTATTATTTGTTAATTTCGTCAGGGACGCACGGGCACGCACGTAAACGTATTAATTTATTTTATCGAGTTCAAATATTTCTTATAAAAGAATAAAAAAGAGAGAAAGAAGAAGAAGAAGAAGAAGAAGAAGAAAGAAAAGACGAAAATACGACGAATTTCTGTTCATTAGGTATATGTAAAAAAAAAAAAAAAAAAAAAAAAAAGAAAGAAAAATTTTTTACGTTATTGAAGTTAAATTTTAATTGAGGTTAAGATTGTTCGGAAAAAATAATTCATATTGGTATTATTTGACAAAAAGAATTATATAGATATTTATAGGGGAAGAAAAAACTACGTTTGATTTCAATAATCGTATTGAATCTAGAGAGATATAATTAGTCGATATTAATAATATTTTATTAGAAATTGATAGGATTACATGTATGCGTGAGTGTTTCTCAGAGGAGGTTAAGTAATAAAAATAAAAAGTAAAAAATAAAAATAATAGAAAAATGTCGTAAATGAGGAAATAAAAGGAAGGTTTGAAGAAATTAATTTTTGATTTGAAAAAAGAGGTAAATATATTATCCGATATACAACCGAGTCTCTTTTTATCCGGTATTTTTTTTCTTTTTTCTTCGAACGCGATTCACATTTACAGATACACACACATACACACACACACACTTGTATTACGTTTTATTCACATGTTTTATATGCATGTTTAGAAGTTCGCGAAATTACATTAATTAATACGTTAAAAATGTCACAAAAATCGTGCATAATTTTTAAGAAAATATATATACATTTTTCTTTTCTCCTTTCTTTTTCTTCTTTTTCTTTTTTTTTTATTTCTTTTTAATTCATTTTCTTCTCAACGAGACATTAAATTCTCTATCGTGTTTATTAAGAAAATAAAAAGAAAAAGAAAAAAAAGTTTCTAGTGAATGCATTTTTCATATTTTGAATTGTTCTCTCTTTCTCTCTCTTTCTCTCTCTCTCTCTCTCTCTCTCTCTCTCTCTCTCTCTCTCTGTATAGTTTACATTTGGTTTAAACAAAAGTTTTATAGTTTGTCGTATAAATCGATTTTTACCGGACATTTTTTTTTTTACATATTTTTCATTTTCTTTCATCTTTGTTTTTTTTTTTTTAACGCTACGCACCCTGTCGTATAAAAAAGATTCAAGTGTATATACACACACATACATACATACATACATACATACATAAATACATACGTACATACGTACATATATATATATATAGTCGAATTTTTTCGTTAAAAAATTTTAATCAAAAGCGTATCCTTTGTTCGGTATCATGGATATAGGAAGGTTCAAAACGGATTGAGATCGGCGGGAATTGAGCGGCAAGTATACTCACCGCGTATACTTCATAGTAGTAGTCGCTCGTCGGAAAGCCGCGAACGTTGTGCTCGGCTCCGGTGCCACTTGTAGTTCGATGCCGGAGAGCGTTCCGAGTTGACCGCGTGCGCGCGCGCACAAGACACAGCAGACGTTTTCTTACCTGCCAGTCTCGGACTCTCCTTTGCCTCTTTTATATCGTTTGTATCGTTCGTCTGCACTTCTTCTTCTTCTTCTTCTTCTTTTTCTTCTTTCGTTCTCTTTTGTCTTGTTCTTCTTTCGTCTTCTTCGTCTTCTTCTTCTCCTTCTTCTTTTTTACTCTTATATGATTTTCCATTATTATATATTCCTTATACTTAATTTTTTTCACCTACGTTCGATCTTCCTCCTCGTGTATGTGCTTTTACTTGTCTACCGTCGCTACCTTTAGTGTGATTTTCGTGAGGAAGGATAGAATGCGAAGGATACCATGAACGTACCCATCGTGTCAGGCGACATCGTGGACGATGAAGAAGATTACAAGCCACGTTTCGTCAGGGTAAGTTTATTAATATTAAATTCTTATTTATGGGATTTTACGAACGACAATGGTGATGACGGACGAAGACGACGGACGAAAATGACAATCACGACGATGATTTTTTTAATTTATCATATTACTCGTTACTTATGTTTTAATCCCTTTAGAAAGTGAAATTTTATTTCTTTTTTTTTTTTTTTTTCTTTTTTTTTTTCACTTTTAATAAAAATTGTCCGTCCGAGATATCTTTATGGGAGATTATTTGAGATATCGCGTTTAGAAATATATGGTAATTCTTCTTCTTTTCTTTTTTTTTTTTTCTTTAATTTTTGTAAACGAAACTTGTTTTGTAGTTTTAAAAAAGAAAATACAGAAGGAAGAAAAACAAAAAAAAAAGGAAAAGGAAAAATAACTTTTGAATTACGATTATATATAATTAAATCGTATTTATTCGTTAATATCACTTATTGAGGGATAAATTAATACGAACTTTAATTTACAATGATATTTAATAACGTTGTTTACATTATTTCGTAATTATAGTATAACCGTATAACTCATTAGTATATTTAATAATACTAAACTCTATATTTCTAATTATTTGGAAATTTTCGAATTTAATTATTATTTTTCAGAGGACGAAGAAATATACACACACATATATATATATATATATATATAGTAACGATATACATATGCATGTATGTATGTACATAATATATATATATATTTGAATTGTATATTATTAAAATCAATGACACAATAATTTAACGACCTGCTTGTTATTTCTACTTATTATTATCGAAGTAATATTGTATTCAATACAAGCTCCGTTAACGTCTCCTCACGTTGTTCGAATCTATCAGCTGTCTATCTTGCATCGAGTTACGAAATATCCCCCACCTCGAGTTCTCAATTTATCGATTTATGAACTACTATGACGTTCCACGATTATTTCCTTTGAAAAATATCATTTTGTTTCTAATCTCTAATCTTAGGCATAATCATGAGAAATACAATTCGAATAACGATTCGAAATGTTATTTGATTGAACTTCGGTGATAAAATTTTTCAAGTTAATTCCCGATGAAAATAGAATTTATAAAACATTATTTTATACATGCCAATACGTTTTACACGTAAATAATAATAGATTTTTAAAGATATCGTTAAACGACATTGAATGACATTTAAAGGTAAACTTAGGTGAATACTATCAAGACAGTCATTCTATCGGTGATGATATTTAAATGGTGATATATATATATATATATATATATATATATAAAGAAGAAAAATAAGAAAATAAAAATCGAAAAATGCGATCGATCGATTCTATCTATCTATTTATCTATTTATCTATCTATCCATTTATTTATCTATCTATCTACCTTCTACCTACCTATTTACCTATCTATCTATCTATCTAATTATTTTTTCACAAGTATGCGAAGACGCGTACGATTCGATAAATTTCACCGAGTTCGACCTTTACTTACTAGTTGTTACTTCGTTGAGATAGGAATGAAAATCCAAGCGGTCATTATCGGATGGCGCAAGGAAGACGAAGAAGAATTTCCTTTCACTCGAAGGTATCAGTATAAGCTTCCTAAACGTTTACCGAGATATTCCTTTACCGTTTGTCACGTATTTTCATAAGAATTTTGAAAAAAATAAAATGAAAGAGAGAGTAATATCAATACGAATGGAACATATGCACATATATAACTATTCGAGTTTTCGATACGATCTATACACATATATATATATATATATATATATGTATATATTTATATATGTATATTATTTTTCAGTAATTATAAAAGTGATCTTTGATTTCATGAAAGAATAATATTTGTTCATTATACATTTAATGATATAAAACACAAAAGAAATGATAAATTGAATGATGGAATATTTTTTATTCGGACTGATATATATATATATATATATATATATATTAATACGTATGTAGTCATATACTTGGATACAATATAGTTATGTGTATTTTTAATATTTACAATTGATATAAATAGAGCGTCGATAGAGTTTCATAAAAAAATATTATTGTTAAATGTATTTTTTATCGAAAACTTTTCGAGAAGAAAACTCGAAGAGTTCGTGTATAAAACAACTTTTTTTTGTTCTCTTCTTTTTTTTTTTTTTTTTCCTAAACTCTATACAACAAAATATCCTTGCGACAAGAGGGTCATTCTATTTTAAATAACAGAAAACTTTTTCGTCACGTACTTACTCGCTCGCATTCCACACGTAGGTATTCTATTATTCATTATCGGAAATTTTTGTCCTTTTTTCTTTTCATTCCTTTCTGTATTTTCTTTTTTTTTTTCTTTTTTTTTTTTCCTGTCAGAATTCTTCGAAGTTGAAAGACAGAAATAGAAGATCGCGAGGATGTATTATCTTTTGTTAAGAGGAAAGTCTAAGAGCGTGTAAACGACAACAAATCTAAAATTCCGATGATATATACAGGATGTTTTAGGATTGAACTTAACCAATCAAATCAAATAAGCACGTTCTATGAGCGATGATATGAGAAATGGAAAAAGAAGAAAGAAAAAAAATGTTATATAAATATATAGATCCGCTTATGGTTCATAAAAATGTTATAAGAAAAATATTAAAACCCAAGAGAAATAGCGAGTTCGTTGTTGATATATCACAATATAATAATAATAAAAATAATAATAATAATAATAATAATAATAATAATAATAATAATAATAATAATGATGTTAAGAATTGATTGAAAAGAATTAATGATCTCTATTCAATTTTGAACTGAACCAAAATAAGCATGAAATTCGGAGATTGATAATATTACTGCGATGTCAAGGTTTCGATTGAAATGGGGGGGGGGGGGGGGGGAGGAAGGACGACATTTTAAAATGAAAATGTAAATCCTGTTTTTTTTTCTTTTTTATTTATTTATTTTTTTTATTTTTTTTTTTAAGTAATGTAGCGTGATAATAATAAAGAAGATTTCTTTTTATGGATTTTTATATAACCATTTCTTTTTCTTGTTTTTTTTTTCTATTCAAAGAATATATTGAAAGCGAAGTGTTTGATCGTTTTAACGTGAAACACTATCTATAATATGAACGATTTAATGAATATATAAGGAAAAGGAAAGAAAATATGAAAATTATAATGAATTGATCGTTATTATTTAAAAGAGATATTAAAAACCGATTAAATATTTCTAAGGTATCTGCCGTGCTATCTAACTTCATCCATCGTATTGCTGTATGCACAATGTTATCTCGTAAGGTAGATAGATAGAGAAAGAGAGAAAAAAAAGAGAGAGAAAGAGATAGGAAGAGAGAGAGAGAGAGAGAGAGAGAAAAGAGAGAAAGAGATATATAGAGGAACTCTTTATATATGTACGCACGTATATCCATGGATATATATATAGGGTATTTCAAAACACATAGACATAATTTTGTTGCCTGATTCAATAAATCAAAATGAAATAAATTAAGCTTGTTATCGAGTAATAAATATTTTTGCATTATATGTATATTTTTTTTATTGTTTATCTCTGTCTAATCGATCAATAGAAATTGTTCGAATTAAATACTTTCGATTCGAATACAATCTTTTAGACATTTCATCGTCAAGATTTCGATTATGTTCGAAGTTTTCTGATATTGTTTCGAATTCGTTGTAAGTAACATTGTAAAAAGCTGTTTAAGTGTTTCACGCGGATAAATATCTATCGAATTTAAGTCAATCATTATATTGAACGAACGACGATAAAACGTTCAAAAGTTTTTACGTTCAAATATGCATCACTTCGAACAATTTCTTACGAAGCCTGATAAACAATCGATACTATACAAAAATATATTATGGGTATTACGATAAATGAGGTCGTTAATTTTGTTGTTGTTTTTTTAATTTTTTTTTTCTTTTTCTTTTGTTCCTTATTTCAACGCGCTGAAAATGCATCGGTTAAAAATAAGTGGCGTGTGTTTTTTAAAAAACCCTGTATATATATATATAAACACACACACACACACACACACACACATATATATATATATATATATATATATAGAATCGTTGTTATCTCTTAACGTGGAAATTGTAACACGCACGAGCCGTGACTTTGATGCACGCGCATCGAGAGAACACGTCGCGTGCGTATACGTTGCTGCTTGTACCTTAAAGATCTCTGCAATTATTTCAATGAAACGAGGAAAAAGTCACCTGGCTTTTCTATTGTTCTTCGGTTGATTTCACGTCTCACCGTTTCGCCTCGCTCTCTCGCGATCTTACGAAAATTTCTTCGGATTCTATTCGTCCTAACTGCGATCTAAACGTTCCTAGAATAATTTTTTATTCCAGCTTCGTTTGTAATTTTATCAAATTTATATATTATTTTCTATAATGTTAATTAATGAAAATCCAAAAGATTCGTTTTGATGATTAATCATTATTACGTATGCATATGTCAATCGATTAAATTATTTTCTTTAATTTTAATTTTCTTTTTTTTTTTGTTTATTTATTTTATACATTTCAATGGATGATAATTAATGATGATTTAGAGAATGGTTATAAATTTAATTCTTTTCCTTTTTTTTTGGGGTGGACTTAATTCGATAGAAATTTTGTGAATTTTTAATTGTTAAGAAAAGAAATTGTACTTTTTTTTTTTTATGGGACAAGTACTTGTTATAATGTTTATTAAAGCAACGTAAATATGGATAGCGAGAAGATAAAAAATGCGGTTGATAGCATTACTGCCGGTTAGTGTTATATGGAGTTAAATTAAAATTCGATATAAATAATTCAAAATAATTAGAAAGTATTAAATTAATGTAATTTTTATCCTAATTCCTTTAATAACTTGCCACGCAAAGTATATATAATATTAAATTAATATAATTCATTAGTATATATATATATATATATGTATATAGGGCATGGAAATATTTTAATTGGAACACTAATAATTCACGATATCCTTGAGAATGAATAACGAATAATCTTGT